TAAAACATGTTATTCAACTTACTGTTCTTTCATTTTTCCAATCATTTTCTAATTAACAGGTTCAGCTTATCTAACTTGTACTTGAATCGACGTGCATTTTAATTGGCAATTACAATACGAGCAAATACTTATTTCTTAACTGATAAGGCTGCAATCGGACAGTATTAGGTCATAAGCGTTCCTATATACAGTGTAAGTGAATTAACCAGTAATAGTACTATTTAAATAAAACTTTAACCGAATGTCGCAAAAGATTTTTTCATTGTTTCTATTTTCGCTAAAATATAATTCACCACATAGATATCAAGATAGAGTGCATTCGTACATTTCTAGTTTTCAAGACGACGCGGGGGAATCGTTATTGCACGAATTAAGGACACCATTATTTTTTTTGTTTATGATCATCGAGGAATAACCACAATTCGTTCTGAACAAAGTCATTTCTCTACTGCGTCTAGGTATGACTCACGTAACTAGAGAATAATAATGCGATTATTACAATCAGAAAATGCGGTTGATGAACAAGAATCAAGGTCCAGAGGGGAATCGCGTTTTGCGGGAGAGAAAATGACATTCCCGCATTTACCTGATTTACGATAATGTCCACAATTCCGTTTCTGTTGTAATGTCGAAATTTAATAGCGATGATCACTGTTACAAGGATACTTCGTAAATAGGCAATGTTAATACGCCGCAAATTAAAATGAAATTTGAAAAAGCAACATTGCAAGTAAACGCGTCAAAAAGGATCGCTCGAATCGAAAATTAAACGAGCAATATTTTAACGTGAATCGTTGTATTCGATGACGTTTATTAAGTGTGTCGAAAAACCCTTTCTCGATTTCTTATTAGTAAGATAATAATTTCTCACTGTTTTATAAAAATAACTTTTGTCCTTGCAACAGAGAACCATATCCTTTTCTAATAGGTCAACAAAATGATTTAAAAAATGAAGAAGCAATGTACAGGGTGAGTCACCGCATATTGCCATTTAGATTTACGTTATTCTTATTACACGTAACGAAAAATGTTTCAGCGTTTTTTTAAATGGAATTATATATCTTTTATTGCTTGATGTGTTTTAATATTCTCTACAAAAAAGTATTAACCTATTTATAATAAAAGATCATTAGTTTAGGAAATATTTTAATTTTAATGTTGTTAGAAAATTGTGACGTAAGAAGTTTATAGATATGGTCAATTATATAAATCGTATTTAAAAGTCTGTCAGGGTTTCGTCTCTAATTTTCAAGTCAATTATTTCATATGTTCACCACTAAATTACGCTTATATTCAATAATAATAAAGAGTTATTTTTAGCGGCCATTTCGCATTAGCGACTCGTTTCTGTATGTATTACTTTTCGAAGAATCACCAAGAGCAATCATTTTCCACTATAGCACGCGTACTCATCATCCTTGGGGAACCGGCTATTATTTAGTTTATGCTCCCTTATAACTATCATTTTATTTGTTTCGTTTCACTTGACCTTCCATAAACTTACCCAACAAATTCCTGATTAATTATTTTATAAACCACGATAAAAAGAAGTAACATTAGATAAAATAACGATTGTTATTGCATGTTATATCCAAGTTTCTATTCTTCAACGAGAGTCAATAATGACTATTTTTTAACAATGTTCTTTGTTAAGACAAATTTTACTGGAAATCTTTTTATTCTTACGAGAAAAACAATAAAATGTTATCAGAATGAAAATAAAACTATTATTTTAAAAAATGACGTACAATTTATTATTTTCACAGTGAAACAAAATCTTCAAAAACTGACCAAAATGTGTACATAAAAACACTAGTATAGATAAAATTAATTGCTACAATGACTATTGAAAGGGTTATTAATGCTTCTTTTATATTGCATTAAAATATACAATTGTTTTCGATCTGTTTCAGTTTGATTAAGGAAATAATTTTATTGAAAAACATAATGTAAAAGCAGTTTCGGTTGATGAAGATGATTCTTTTCAAGCACAAATATTTTTAAAACATGACCAACTCGTAACACAGTATGTATACAGTTTCGTAATAATAATAATATGTAAGGAAATCTCAATCACAAAATTAAATCCAAAGAAAAATTGTATATATTTATGTTATGTTTTTTTCATTTTATTCTTATTTAAGATCAATCGGATGAAAATGCAGTTTCTTTTATTTCCTATCAAATTACTTTCATTTTACATTCTTTAAAACGTTATCTTATTAAGACGTTGACTGCTACGATAATTACTAGCGACCAGTACGGTAAATTTGCTATATCGTATTTTTAAATTATTTACAATGTAAACACCACAATATAAAATAGGTACACCACTGAATTATCGGATATTTCTAATTTTCACACCATAATTTGAACAAATGTTGAGGATAAAATTATTTAATTTTAATTTTAAATGAATACGAACAATGCTTACTTTATTTCTGTAAGATGAATATTTGACAAATTACATTATACGAATATTTTTATAAAAGATAATGTAGCTTTAAATTCTTATCGCAAATACTGACTAATATATACATTTTTCGTTCGGATTTTATTTTATAAATGCGATTTATTTATTCCTATTTTGAAACTTCATATATGACTAGCAGTGCTCACTTGTCGTTGTTACATGCGGATATTATTTAAAAATATTTGTTTAGAATAATCAAGAAAATCAACAAATTACATTCAGTTTTTTCTTTTCTAGGACGAAGAATGGAAAACTGCAATATTTTTCGATGAGAAAAAATTTAATCTACTCAATTCTAATGAAACACTATATAATAAACATTATTGACATGATTTTTACAAAGTTAAAGCTATTATCAATAAGTAAAATTCTCACGAGAATGAAAGCAGATAAATATACTAATCTTTTCGAAAACATTTTGATTTGTTTTATCAAAGCATATTATGAAAACAACTTTGTTTCCTCAGCAAGATAACAATCTGTACATAACGCTAAGAAGAACTGGTTTAAACAACAACGTTTGCTGCTTATGAAATGTTTTCGACAATATAACGACATTAATGAGTCAGAGAATTCAGTAAGATATGAGTGAAACCAAATTGAGCAGTCAAGATTGTAAAAATTAATTAATAGTATAAAAAATAGAATATATAATTGAAGTAATTAAACATAACTGTGACAGTATCGGTTACTAACATTACAAATTCAGTTTTTTGAAACAAATTTTAAAGACTCTTTTTATATAAATTTTGTCACTCTTCCGTGTGTGAGGAGTATTGAAGTATCTAAAAAATTATTAACAATGTTTAATTTCTAACACAGCAAATAATATTGGAGAATTACCTGTTAATGACATTTATGGATGAATCATAATTTTAACATTTCCGACTCAATCTGCTGAAGAGTAAAAACGTGAATCAAGATTTTTAGCAAGTATTCAATCGTTGTAATCATTGTTAAAATAAGTCAAAACTTTAGAGTACATTATATAATTTACTCATTTGTGTAATATGTAATTCTATAGTTTCTTGACAATTTTACGATTATTTCAAGAATACATCGTCTAAAATGAAATTTTAGGTTTCAACACAATAACTATTATCGTGGAACCTTTCTATACACCAAAATATACTATTCAAAAATGAAAAGCAGCCATCTTCCTTTCACAATTGTCTTTACTTTATGCTGTTCGTTACGCAGAATATTGAGTAGAAATAAACTAAATTCTTGTCGTTAAGCTCTCGAAGTATCCCACGGTATCATTAAGAGTTCATTGCCAATTTGGAATATCGTAGGAAACCTACTGAAAATGTGGCTATATGCTTTTTTCTGAAACGTAAATCAAGAAAAACAAAAAAGGAAAATAGTGGGTGCAGTATTTCATGTGTAAAATGTGGATATATCATATATATACTGGTTATGACTCCAGAAGTTACACTTGTAATTACTTCGTGAGATTTAAATTTGATATTTATCTAAGACAATTATTGTTGTGATTTTTGTGCCTGATTAAATCATAAGAGAAAATCATTTTGTCACCTATTTATTTTTCTACTTTTATAAAACTAAAGTAAATTGGAATTTTGCAATTTCAAATTTTCATTCTTCATTATTATTGAAAGTTTGAAGTGCAAAAGTTTACTAGTTTCGTTATGACATTATGGGGTGTTATTTGTTCCTATCCTCTGTCGTTACTTTTTATTCACTATAAACAAACTGTATTTCGAAAATGCTGCATTTAATATTTTGTTTATAATAGAAATAAAATTATTCCTCATTTATTTCGGAGCATTTCTTCAATATTATCATCAAAATTTTTGGCATTTTTATTAAAAATAGTAATGTTTTGATAGAAATTTTGTTCACTATAGAACCATAAAATTCCGTCCGTTAAGTCAAAGATTTAATGTAGTTTTGTTATTATTAATTGTATGAAAAAGTTTTAGTTCTTTTTTCAAGCGTTCAAGTATAATTATTTTTTAAAAAAATACAATTCCTCTCCTTTTTCTGTAGTTGTTAAGTTGTTCGATTCATCTAGTTGAAACGCCAACTTTATGATTGATTTATAACAATAAATTCAAAAAACAATAGTTCACGTAGGTCTCTCAGAACATTGCCACTCGTTTAATAATTTTGTGCTTCGCTGCTTTCAAAGCTGCATAAGAAAGATTTTTCATAAACTACTGTTACAAATAACGAAAAATGGATCCCGTATTAAAATTTCGAACGCAAGCATTCGTGAGTAGGTTATAAACGCAGTACTCTTTGAGCAGCAATACGTACATACTATGTACAAGTAAAAGAACATTAAAAAAGAAACAAAACTAAAACTTTTGTATACACATAATAATTAATTTCGGGTTCGGAACGTTGATAAGTTGGTTATTAGAATGTTGACCACGTTTCGATAAATCCGTTCCACTGTAGTTTCGTGCAATTACACCTCCTTGTCGTAACGTAGACATCGATCTTGAGGAATCCCATTGGGAACCTTAAATTCCGAACGGCGTCTCCGCGATTTTCTTACCTGCCAGCCTATCCTTGAGGTGTGGGTGTCCCTGAAGCGGATGTGCGGCGAGGTTCGCGAGCAAGCTCGCCCTGTGAAGACCGGCCGCCGCTGCCTGCTGCTGACTGTGTTGAAGGGCTTGTAAACTCCACGGTGGTATCAACGCTTGTGCCGGCAATGCACCCGTTGTTGCACCATTAGCACCGGGTGGTCGATGCGCAGGAACTCTTATTACACCTCCACCGGTATATATCAGACCGGTTCCGGCCGGAAAAAGTCTGAACGGTGCCAACAGGTCCGCGGCAGTCGAGCAATGGACCGACGACGCGGAATTCATCTGTGTTTCCGGCGTGCTTCCGGTATCATCGTCGTCCTTCTCGGACAGTTTCTCCTCTATCTCGTGACCCCAGGACCTTCTGCCGTCGTCCAAGGTCATCGACAAGCCACCGTTATTGTTTCCCTCTTCCCAGGACCATTTCCTCTCTTTGTCGCTGTCCAGATCCTCCGACGAAGGGCTTTTCGGATTTTGTGAACGATTCTCCCCCAACAGACGACTTATACTGAAAGGATGGCTCCTGGGCGATTCGTTCTGCAGCGTTCTGGAGCTCGTTTGGCTCGGCGGCGGGGAATTCGAGCACTCGGAGTGCTCCTGCGGTAGACGTCGATTGTCGCTGGTATAGTTGTGCGGACTGCAGCTTCCGGAGTCTGAGTCGTCCACGTTGATCTCCTCCGTCGCGTCCACGTCGCTGTCGCCGTGAACCGACATGATCCTTTCGGCTACTGTTAATCGATCGTGATCCTCGACGGCCGACGTGTACGATCGTTGCTGTTGTTCACCACCGCGAACTGATTCGGTAACTCATTCTGCGCCTCTGTCGCCCGACCAACAACTAAATTTCTAGTTAGCGCACGTTTTAAAAAGTCTCGTGACGATATCGCGGTGATCCAACTCGCTGCTTCGGCGCGTTTTCATCCAACGTTAGAGTCACCTGACAGCCATGTTGCAAACCTATTAAGTTCTCGTCGACGGCAACCTTATCCGTACAATTAAACTAAATCTCACTCGCAGTGCACTGTTAATGATCTACTGTTGTCATCCACTTGTTGGTTACAATACACAAGGTCACAACCGTGTTCCGTCGAATACACTGTTTTCTAATGTTCGCTTACCACTGATCGGTTCACTTTACCACGGAAAATGTATATAAAATCCACCATCTCCTGGAGAACCGAACGAAACGAATAATCCCGACGTTGGTCCCGTCAGAGACGCTTTCGTGCTCGATTGTACCCTTGGTGTTCGGTGTCCTCGCCCATGGGTAGTTACGTGCACGACAGGTCGCACGAGTCAAAGGGTAAAAGGAAGGGAATCGATCGGTTCGAAGGTCGACAGGGGAACGAAGGGCGCGAAGGCCACACTGGACAGCGATTTGAAGAGCGACGAGTGGCTCACGTGGTTCTCGAAAGGGATGTGCGTTTCCCGTACGGAACTCTAACCCGTGGTGAGTTGGGACGTGAATCCAGGTCGGTCGCGACGAGAGAGACGGGACGTTGTGAGGGAACCAGAGAAACCAGATGGTTCATCCCTACCACGGTTCTGCGACGACTCGAGCCACGACCCGGAGTCCCGTCGCGCGGCATCGCCTACCACGACTTCGCTGACCAATCCCCTTCACCGTGGCTCCGCCTACCGGCTCGCCCATTGGACCGCGTTAAATTGATACCTATTTAACATTTGAGCAGAATGTTGCAGGCGATCGCCTTTTTCTCCTATATTATTTATTACCCGATCGTCGTGCCTTCTTTTTTCTCTCCGACTCTCCCCGCCGTCCCTTCGCGTTTCTTCCTGTATGCCTCGTACGCTCCGTCTCCTTCGTCCTTCTTCCCCACCTCCTCCTGGCCATTTCTATCTCCTGTTCTCTCGCGCATCCAAACGTCCTCGTCCTCTCGCAGAGACGTGCCGCACTGAGTTGAAGAAGCGGAGGGACTTAATTACGACGAATATCCTTTTGGTCCCCTCCACACTCCTTTCCCCTCCCACCCGACCGTTCCCGTTCTTCTCTTTTTTCAGTCGTTCCTCTTTCTATCTTTCCGTCTTCTCCTCCGTTCTTCCGAACTGTCCCTTCTCGTCTCCTACTCTATAGTTCTGCTTCTATATTTGATCGGTGCATACGAAACGTCGTTTTTACCGAGGTTTCAAGTTTACGACGCGATCACGCCGGAAACGATGTTCGGTGATCAATTCTTTCGCGCCATATTGGAAACGGAGGATCTCGCGTGCATTCGTTAACCGGAATGGAGTCACCGGTTTTCGCTTAACGCGTTCACCGCCAAACCAAAACCGTAAAATTGTTTACGAGACCAAAACTTTGATTTTGGACAGTTGTAGACTACGCAAGTTAAAATTTGTCTTAGTATATATTTTCACAATCTCACTAAAATTCATGAATCCTAGTCAAATTTATTTCCTTTAGCATTTCAATTTGAGAATTAATTGTTTTAGCTCCACAGTAAAAAGTCCTGTCACCTTAGTCAACTCCTTTTTTTATGTATCGAACGTTTATTGTGCCAAGAAAACAATTATAAATATATATACAAAGAGGTATAATAAATCTAAACGTACAAACAGCTATTTTGTAACTAGGACTACAATTTAGACTAATGGCTTAACATAGAGCTCGCATAATCTTAACATTAAACAATGTCCGTAGCACTTAATGCTACTTACAAGATAGTTTTAAGAATAGTTACTTATACTAGAGTTTAGATTTAATAGTTTGTATAGAAAAATGGCACCAAACCCCTAGTCAACTCTAGACTAACCAAGGAGGATAAGGCTCGTGGAACCCATCAATAGGAGATTTTTAAAAATATTTATCCCACAAGAAATATTCCCCAAAAATTACTTATTGATGCTTGTGTATTAAGATTCGATGTTTAAAGATCGAATAAAATGGACACGATAAAATAAAAAGCAACGAAGTACAACGATCAGTAGGCTGTGGATATATGAATGTGTAAATACATATTTTTCATATTGCATATGTTATCCATATTACACATAATTTTTTTCTTTTTTTATCTTTGCAACTATTCATGATATAAAAGTCGTATGGTCAGGTTATGATGAATTATGCCGGTTTCGTCTACATAATTTGAATTTTCGAATTTGGGATCGGTAATATAGCACCTCTCGTTTCTAATGAGAAGTATAAACAGTAAACAGTAACGCTGAATTGTATTATTAGTTTAATTTTACCATTTCTGAAGTAATGATATAATTTAACAAATGGATAAGTGAAATAACAAATACAAATTTTAAACAGATTATTTGCGACAAAAAATCACGTTTGTCTTAATATGCAAACATTGTTTTTCATAGAAGAAATAGGGTGAAACACCCAGTACTTGGACACTAGTGTATATAATGTTGATGATTATCTATAATATTCGTTATAACCATTGAGGAGTTATTCTATTCAGTTCCTCAATCATTTAAAAAACCTGTAAGTATTTACCTATATTCAGTAATATGACCTGTGCTTTAGGAAAAATGTATTTCTATAATGCTGCGTACAATACATTATATGGCTTAGACAAATCATTGTTGTCGATCACAGAATTGATTGAAATATAAAAGAAAATTATTTCTTGGCAATTATTTTCAGATAGTACCGAAAGATGTATAATTCAATTTTTTGATAAAAGTATAGAACATTAGGAACATGTTGCAAATACAGTTGAAACTGTTATAAGATGAATATACGATGTAAAAGTTTGCATATAAAACACATGCAATTGTTATTAACTGTACTAAAATATAATAAATATTGTATAGATAGAAGGAAATTGTTCGTCTATGACATAAAATGAACCTACATATACCCACCGCATAATTCATGAACTACCAGCCTGCCGAGGGATAGAACTCTTTCCTAACGTTACTGGAAATTCAGCCATGGAAAAGACCGAAGGAAATTATAAACAATTAAATTTTGAAAGAGACTATTGAAAATAACCCGCGTCAAATTGACAATGATTGGCAAATCAGAGGATGGTTAATTGGATTCTGCGCAAGTTGAGCGACGTACAGAAACTTAAACGAATGCAAATGTCTGCTCCGTTACTCCAGAGAAACAAACAAAATCGCATTTTTAAATAATTTGTATTTTATGATGAAAAGTGGTCGTATCGTTATAGAAGATAATAATTACTGTTTGAACGCATTCAGAACTTATTTATTCGTGAGCTTTCTTAATCCCGAAATGACAGTTAATTGCAAAGAAGTTTGTTTAAAATTAGCAGATAAATAACCAGCATTATAAAACAGATGAAAATCAATCTTGTTTGTTTAATAAATTGAGAATGACGATGAAAAAAAAATTAGTGGATTAGAGCAGTATGTATTTCCGAAACGATGGTCTGCGGACAGCTACATTATAAAGAAAAATAAACGATATTATCGTGTAGTAGTCATTGAAAACAACTGAAATATCTGTTTATTTTTATAAAAATTGTTTTGAACTAGTAAGTATTCAACATTGTTCATTTTACTTCTGTTAGAATTATTAAAACATAGTAAATGTTCCTAGACATTTCATTTTTAGTAAGATATATTTACATGAAAGATTAATAGTAGAGAGTTTTTGATAACTTATAATGCACGCTTTAAGCATAATTTCATAATACGTCTTTATTATACCAAACTCATAAAAGGTAAAGAATAAAAAATCATAAACATAGATATACATTAGGTACAAAATTGAGGTATAACTGTATGCTGTTATTAACCTAATCGAAAATTAAAAAGTGTATAAAGAATGGAAGAAGAATTATCTCTTTTCTTTAAATGGGTCAATTTTATATCGACGAAAAAAGAAATTATAAATAATACACTAAAATTTCAATTTTGAGTTCAGCCTCTGAAGAAACTAGAAATAACTAGATTAGATTAGATAATTACTTTTTTAGTTATCCTACTCGCCAATTTGTAGACTGTTAAGAAAAACATGTTTAAAGTTTTCAATAAAGTTTCATAATATTCCTACTGTAAGACATTTCGCACTTTGACACTCCTTACAAAATGACTCGCAGCTCCGTTATTTCTGCGAATTCAACTTACAAATTTTGATAATTTATTTTTGAAACGCTGTGCTTGATTTTACCGAGGAATCGATTTTTGAACCTGTTACGCGAAAATCCCCCTCCTTAATTAATAAAGTACCCTCGGTATGCTGATGTTGCGAAACTGTTACGTAAGATTGAAGATTGATGAAAACTGCGTTTCGTGCGCAGGGAACCCACCACTTTTGCTTTTAACGTGGTGATGCGTTTTATGCAGCTAGGTATGCGTTGGCCACAGAATGCAGTTCGTGACAGGGAGCAAAAGGCCAACCAACGCCGATTTCCCTTGCCCTCCCGCTCTGTTGGGTGAACTGCCGAGACCTGCGGTGAACTCACTTTCGCGTGTCTTAACTGCACGTCAACCTGCTCCCCGAGGCTACTCACACGTAAGTACTCACGCTTTTCAATTTCGCCGACGATTCGTCCAATGAAATTCTCCATGTATCGAAATCCGGGAGCCGAGTCGCGAGGCGTTTAATTTTTATCGCGAAAATCGATGATCGTTATTCAAAGGTAAAGACGAAGAGGAGTCGACCACGATCAGTTTCTAAAACGACGGTAAAAAATAGCACCATAAAATTACAAGAGACGAGCAATTTTAAAGGCAAATTTATGATTGTGATTAAGTCGCGAAGCTGGAGA